TCGGTGCGCTTGGTAGTCATGGCGGTGAAGGTGTGGTGAAGCGAAGCTGTTGTTTGCGCCTGTTAACCTGTTGATAAGATGTGTTGATAAGATGGCAGAAACCGAAGTGAATATATTTAGGTCCTTAGTTCGCTACTCTGTGCTACCTCTAAGCTTGTCCTTCTAGATCCTTCTAGAAGCTTCTTAATGTAAACTTATCTATCTAGACCAATGAGCGACTACCATTATGTCCGTAATCAGCATCCGTAATCATCCACATGCATTCAGCGGTGTAATTTTAACTAAAACAAAAAAGTGAATTTGCAACAAGAAACGTTGGGCATTTCGAGATCGTTATGATGATAATTCCCAGCGTAGCAAGTCTTAAGTAGGCACTAGGCATAAAAATTAATTCAACCTTTAATGTTGATGTGTTATCAAACTACGAACCGATGTCAGACAAATTTCATTACTCGTCCCATCCCCAAAGCGTTTAAGTTTGTGAATAATGATTCAGCGGATCAGCTTCAAAGCATTCGGTCTCTTTTAAAAAATGGACAGTTTATTCGCCAACCAGAATGGCTTGTCCAGTTGTATGCTGAAACAGAAGAACAAGCTAACTGAAAAAAGAGAAAGATATTCGACCCGTAGCTCATTGGAATGATCTCGTCGCCAACTTTAACCAGCGCCGACGAGAAATTAGATCGGGAAACACACTCACATGTTCTATTATTCTAGAAGACGTTTTAGCATGTACGTGAGTGTAGGTCTCATTCTGACGTATACAGAATGTACCCACGTTCAAGAAGAGATGATACATATATTCATAGCAGTTTAAAAAAGGCGACATCATGGGTGAAACGACATGTATACAAGAAACAGTAGAAAGAAATAGGATAGTTAACATATATAGAAGGAATTAGTCTAACATATAATTTCACCTCTTAACTCGCAAACTACCGTACAACACCTCATAAGTGCGAACGATCATTACAGTCCTGACCAAGATGTTACATTACTTCGGGGTAACCATTCTCAATTTTTCTGGTAAAAGTCCAAAGTCCGTGAGTTGATTTATAGAGTGAGTGACTCTTTCATTTTGAAGCATTTATTCACTATGCAAGAGCACAAGTAGTCTTTTCCGAATCCCCGTTGAGTGTCGTGTGACCTTCTACGGTGATGGAATGCATGCTAGCGCCTCGATTCGACCTGATAGAAAGCTAGCATCATAAGTGATACATAAAACTGAGTATACAGATTGGCAAAATCTCGTGTTAAGATGATGGCACCAACTGAAGTGATTATTTTATGGGAATTTCTAGGTTTGCTACTCTGTGTTGCATCTTGGTTTATTTTTATAGCCTAACTTCACTTGACCAATGAGATACTATCATTATGTCTGTAATCAATGCGCATGACCCCGTCAAAAATTGTGAACATCATTGAAATTCTTAGACTCCAGCTACTTGCATTCAGCGGAGTAACTTTTACACTACACCCACCGCAATTTTGAGCATGATTTATAGCAGATTTGGTCCAGATACCCGTTGTCTCGCGCATAAATTTAAGCAATTTGTCTTCGAGTGCCTTCGTGAGCATACCTGCAATTTGATTAATCGTATCGATGTAGTCAATCTTTGGTGATCCATGCTGAATTTTTTTTCGAATGAAGGGATGCCTATTGCCTACGATCTAGCCAAATCTATAGCCCCCTGGTTGTCTTTCCATGTTTGTGTCCGTGACCCATGTCCTTGAGCACTGCATGCGTCCAAAATACTTATAGTGCACGAAATATGAGAGCCATATACTAAATTGTTGTGGAGCTCTCTGGTATTTGGACTTACACACAATCATAGCATTGCCACCATAGATAATTTCACCAGATGCAAAGCGAATGTCGTAAGTGTTGCTTTTACGGTCTGCATTCAAAAAAGCTTCGACCACCACCTTTCCAATTATACCTTGGTAGTTGATTCGGTGACGTCGAGTCCACTTTAAAAAGTGTAGAACAGGAATTGCGGCACTCCATTGCTATATCCCGGGATCTCCAGAGAGCGATACCGCTGCAAGGCAACATTAGCAATACATTTATGCGATGTCTGGCCGTGTGCACATTGTAATGTACAACAGACAGTCGGTAAGAGAGCAGTATGGTATCGAGAACATTTCTGATTGCCCGCTTCTGTACTTGTTGACTGAGGTGTCGAAAATTTGAGACCGGGCCCACGCGGATTGTCGACGTCCTTGAAATGTCTGAACAAACGGATTGTCATGTCGCCAATGAAGAGTGACTGTTTATATGTTGAGGTTGCCGCTGTCTTTCGTGGTAGATCTCTATGCTCAAGATAAATTTACAATGCTGAGGTCCTACATCTTGAAAACTTTCCTTAATCTCGCTTTGATATTCAAATCTCGCCACTCGTCTTGGCTGTAATGATCATAAAATGGACATACAGACATACGTACACGAACATTTCATTAGATTTCTTCACATACACGCATTGACCCACCCCATACCTTATGAAACTGTTATTCTCGAAGACATGATCAATCGTCGTGTTTTACGCACTTACAACTTGCTTAAGTCCACAAATGACCTTGTTCAGCTGCCACACAAAGCCTTGAGCTCTCTTGACACCAAGCTAAATCCCAATGAAACACGATCCAGTAGCACACTCTTTAGAAAGGCGGTGTCGATGCCTAGCCGTTTCACTTTATAGCCAGAATCAGCACAAAACTAATAATTTAATCCGGAGTTTGTGTTTGCCACCGAGAGGTAGGTCTCAAAGTAATCCACGACGTACTTCTTTTACAACGTTCTGCTTCCAATCGTTCCTCGTAACGCACCAGACTGCGTTTCTACCCAACGACATCCAATCGCACGCTCAATAGATCTCCGTGAAACGAGCATTCGTATGAAATTACGGACTCGTTGCCGTACTTTGGCGTCCACCGCCTCGCGCTGCAGTGTAGCCTCGTCACTAGCCATCGCCTCCGTGTGAGTGTCAGGAAAGTCTATTTCGTCACTCATTCTTACAGCGTGGGCGAGGATCAATCGGCTTTAAGGCCGCTTTTTTATCCTTGAACACATTGAAGTTGGTGGGCCGTAACTATCTCGAGTTTTTAGTTATCTGATCCGTTCTCTAGCATCAACATTGGTCCGCGCGCACGCCTTAAGCGCTCAATTCTGGATTGAAATATCAATCTATATCCCTGCAACATTCCAGCAGCGGTACCAAATGAATTTTCGGTAAAATTTTTACTGGAGCCCTGTCTCGAAACGCACAGAACACAGTAATTAGAGCATCTAAACCCTACGATGATTCATGTCGGACCACTCCTCCTCGATTTGAGCGTCTGGACTTTTTCAAGCATATCCCATATGCTCATCCGACACGCCGCTGACAAGAAATAATATGTTACTTGTTTCTCATTTTAAACAAATGCCGCATTGCTCTCGCTGAAATAGTTTTTTAGATACTCCCTAGCCGAGCAGTCACTTTACATGTAACCCATCTGGTTTCAATTGAAAATCTAGTTCTTGAATTTACTGTTATTTTGCGGAGCGAAGATGGCTAAATCTTCTTTTTCTCCTGAGCTATCCTTTTCTTCCAGTCGTGCCAAGTGTTCTCTCAGTGGCTCACTTCTTCCGTAACTTTTCCAAAGCATTCTCCCTGACATCGATCAGCGTGATGTCCTTGGTATTTCCGCGATAGAAGGAAACAGCTCATACGCCGACGACTGGCTCCTCAGAAGTATCACCAGCTATCTTGACTCATCGACTTGCTCCCCCGTCATCTAAATATTCACGACCGATTCGTCTGGCGTGTCCCAGATGTTCGGACATGCGAGTGCCACTCTCCATCCTAAACTCATGGAGGCGATGTGTCATGGGGACAAGATAATGCTGAATGGAATGAATCGTGAAGCGTTTCCAAAGCCTATGAGGTACGAGTTACAGATCGAATTTTGGTCTGGTGCTAAATTTCAACACTTTGGGCAATGATGCCTAGTGCCCTGGTGTCATTCATGAGCCACGTCTCCATTTTCTAGCTCTCATCTTATGCAGCCGAGGTGTGACCCAGCAGCCCTTCTCTTGCGAGGTTTATTCAAATTTTGAACTCCCAATGGTGATAGTTACCATCTCTCAGGAGTTTTTCAGTAAATTTGTTAGTTATAGCGGTGGAGGGGTCGTGAAACGAGGCTTCGTTGCGGCCGCTTACCGATTAAGAACAAGTCAAAAACCGAAGTGAATATATTTTATAAGGCCCTTAGTTCCTCTGTGCTTCATCTAAGCCTGCTGATTATAACCTGACCTTTCTGGATCAATGAGTGGCTATCATTATGTATGTAATCAAGATCCATAATTATGACAGTAACTGTAACCGTGAACGTAATCCTTGCATTCACTCGAATTAATTGGTGTAAACTCAATATATGTCTGACCGCGACAGCTCGATATTTGTCTAGTAGAATAACATATCAAAAAAAAAGAACGAAGGCACGAAGTAGAGAAATAAGTTGCAGCTTAATCTAGCTTACTAGTTCAACAATTGTACAGAGATCTCCGCACCCCGAATGTGCAGCTAAGGAGATACTAGACTTGTTTCACTGTATGGAAATATCATCGAAAATCATTGGATACATGACAAAACCCTTTAGTTTATGGTATAGTCAAAACAACAGATATTTTTCGATTTGATTTCTAATAACGGAGGTAACATGCGTTGTAGTAGGTTGTTTTGTCGCTATCAAAAAATCAGGTTGTTTAGCAATGTAGAATGTTTAAATAACGTGGATGGATATGTTAACTCCGGCGTATACGATAAAGAATATATATTGATAAGATAGTCTGGTGAAACATTATCGAACGATTGAACGTAGTGTTTGATATGAGCTTGTCTTCTGTACGACTGTGCCCGACAAGCTGACAGATGTAAACTTTGAAGTGGTAGACCGAGCGAATTTCCCGAGTTAACCTACCTGAAGAAATAAATAGAAATATCTATGCATGTGTTCAGTCTTTAGGTCGGCATCATCGCTGGTCTACGTTTCATAAGGTAATGTATCGTATTGCTATTGCTCTCGTAGGCCAACAGCATAGCCTCAATTCATATTGTAGACAATAGTGAAAATATAGACTCCTATATGTAATAAATGAATGTTTAATCTTGACATAGAAAAACTTGGCAGAGAGTGCAAATTGAATTGCTGAGTTGACATATGGACATTCATGATTTCACTTCAAAACTCTATCAGAAGTATTGCAGTTAGGTGGTAAATAAGAATGCGATAGAGATTGTGATGAGAGTCCAACAATTTGGCTTTATCGCAAACTAGACAGAAAAGTAAGGTTGAGCAAAATTTATCTGTTACATATAATTTAGGCTTGATATGAGCTTCATTGGCTCTACTTTTTTTGAGAAACACACTATTGAGAGAGGGTCAGCCGGCTATCTGATCCAAGGCATTATTCACACATTTGCGAGTATACCCAATAAATTATTAGCACATGCTCGCTCTTATCACTTTGAGCCATAATCATAATCCCACATGTTGGAAAGTCGCAACCATGGATCTACAAGCTTTGATTGCACGTCCTGAGATAAGGGGCTTCTTCACAT